TCTGGAAAGCGTCTGGAATCTGACAGGGGCACTGGGATTCTTTCCAGGCTATTTGTGCTGGGTGAGACTCTCTGTCTTTGAGTGTGACTCAGGACGGGGGATTAGCTCAGGGATGTGTCAGAGTGGTAATATAGTAACAGCATGCAAAGCCAAGCTGGCCATCTAAGGCTTTGTCCACTCTTCAGGCCCTGGGGGCCGGAGTAAAATCCTTGCTGCTTGCAGTGTCTTCCTGGTTTCCCAGAGACATACCAGCCAGCTTGCCTTTGTGCCATTGCCTCCTTTCCCAGCAGAGAGAGGAAACAAGAGCAAGATGGCAGGGAAAATTCATACTCAAGGCTTTGCCTGCCCTGTGTCCCTCTGGCCCATCACACACTTCTAGCAGGGCTAGGTGGAACATGGTGGAGGTGTTTCCAGTGCTTCCCTAGCAAGCGAAGGCTTCTGGGAGTGTAGCTCATGCAATTGGCATTAGCAGCAGTGGGAGCAGAAATGTGACCTGTCTTTACAGCCCCTGACCCTTCCTGAGAAGGGAGGCAGCTGCTCACAAGGACACAGTACCTTAACTCACAGCAAAGGCTCTTGCATGACACATCAGGTAGAGGGGATGATTGAAACATGAGGTGGAGGGAAACTAGATCTGAGAAGAGCAGTGCAAAGAAAAAGGGGCCTGTGTGAGCATGTTCAAGTAGCTTTCCAAAGCTGTGTGATCTGTAGTGGTTTAGGAGCCTCCCTGCTCCCTCTGCTCTGGTGTTCAGCTCCTCTAAGCCCTGCCGTGGTGCGCCTCAGAAGCGCCTCCGCACTCCATCTTACGTGGACTCTTCAGCATTACCCATAATTCTCTCTTCCCTGACCCTATCCCTCAGCCCCGCTGATGTCTTCCACCCTGGATGGTTCCAGTGAGTGATCCTACTAGTCTCAACAATGTGCTGTAGCAGGATGCCTTTGCATGGTGAGATGTTAAGCACTACCTTGAAAGGTAGATCTGCATAGTGTGTGGTCAGGCCTAGATATAGCCATCCTCTGGTGTTGCCGTAACGTGTATTTGGATTAAATACCAGGTGACGAGACATGAGCTGGTAGATAGCTCCTGATGCAAAGAGGGTGTGAATAAGCAGAGGCATAGTGATTTGTGGGAATAGCATTAGAGGACCATCCAAATACCAATCCAGGTACATGTGTTTGCTTCTCTATGCTGTAAAGAGGCTGGGTCACACCTTAACGCCCTGCTCTGCCCTGTATCCCAGCCAGCCTCTGGCCTGGTCTCAGTCAGCCCCTAGGCACACATGTAATAGGCCTTGTTTATGGATAACAGGGAGACTAAGGCAACAGTACATAGCACAACATGTCTGCATTGCTGGCTGGCCACACACTCACTGTTCCCTTTTTCATATCTTGTCTGTTTAGAGCAGGGGTTGGCAACCCCTGGCACATCCCAGAGCGTGGCATGCAAAGGTATTTGTTTGGCACTCATGCCTTGGAGTGGATGGAAGGAGAGGGGCTGGGGCTGCGCTGCCACAAAAAGGATCGGGCCCCTTGCTGCTCCCTGGCCCTCCACCTGGAGCCACTGGTAACAAGCTGGGCTGGGGCTCCGCACACACTTGTGCAATTGTTTGCAGCCTCCCCACTGCCTGCTGTGAGCAGACTAGGCTCCATGTTGGGCGGCAGGGGCCTGCCGAGAGCCTGGGCCAGCTGTGGCAGGCAGCTGGGAAGCTGCAGGCAGCTGCGTTGGAGTCCGCAGAGCCCTAGCCCAGGTTATTGCTTGTGGTGGGTACACACACGTGGAGTGGATGGCAGGGGAGCCGTGAGGGGCCCAATCCTTGTTGTGGCAGCACAGCCTTGGCCCCTTCTCCCCACATCTGCCCTAAGATGCGCATGCACTACAACCAGCAATGAGCTGAGCTGGGGCTCCACAGACCTTGGCACAGCACTTGCAGCCTCCCAGCTGCCTGCCACAGCCGGTCTGGGCTCTGCTGCCTGCCATAGACCCTGGGCTGCTTGCAGCAGGCAGCAGGGAGGCTGCAGACGGCTTCACTGGGGTCTGCAAAGCCCCAGTCTGGGTCATTGCTGGTGGCAAGTGCGAATGTGCCTTGGGAGGACGGTGGGGAAAGGACCCAGGCTATGCTGCCATAATAAGGATTGGGCCCCTCACAGCTCCTCTGCTATCTGCCCCTAGCGTGCCAACATCTTCCAAGTAGAGGTTTTGAGTGTTTTTGGCACTGCCCAAAAATGTTGAGAACCCTTGGTTGAGAGGGTAAGCTCTAGGGGAATGTATGTGTTTTCCGTCTGTCCTAGTGCAATGGGCCCTGATGGCTGTTGCCATCAGAAGACCTTGAGGTCTTCTGTAATCCAAGTAGATATTAGCAGGTCTTGACACCAGGGTGAGCTGTGCTGTTGAAGAATTGTGGACTAGAGTTCCCTAGTTGAGATTAAATCCTAGTGGGTGAGCACTGAAGAGGCTGGAAGATCAGTGGAGCATCCAAAGGTGCCTGGAGGTAGGGATTCAGAAAAGTGCGACATTTGCCAGGAACATTTATTTTGTGTCTAAGTGACTTTCCCTGGGTTGTCTAAGGTGCCAAGGAGGTGAGAACCCAGCAGCATCCCCGGGGGTGTAATTTAGGAATGAGCAAGCTTCAGAGGAAATAACATCTGGTTCAGGACTCCAGCAGAGCAGAACTTCCAGCTTTTGTGGTTCTAAAACAAGGGTCCTCACAAAAAACCCAAGCAGCTGCTAAGTCCTTTAACTCCATTGACTTGAACAGAACTCAGCACCTCGCAGGATTCTGACATTTGATTCTAAATTACATCAGGCGAGAGAGAAAAATGTAGAGGGCTTTGCAGATGTGAAGGGCCTGAAAGTGTCTTAAATATTAACCCAGGACAATCAAGGCCTGGAGAGCAAGCCACACACAGGAACTCGTTATTTACAGTGTATGGATTTCAATGGAAGAAGAGAAGTTGGATTTTTCAGAACAAGAAAACTTGCCTGCAGCCACAAAACAAAGGCCAACATCACTGTAACAACAACGAATCATAGACTCATAGAAAATTAGGGTTGGAAGGGACCTGAGGAGGTTCCAACCCCCTACTCAGAGTAGGACCATCTCCAGCTAGATCATCCTAATCAAGGCTTTGTCTAGCTGGGTCTTAAAAGCCTTCAAGGATGGAAATTACATCACTTCTCTGGGTAACCTGTTCCAGTGTTTTACTGCCCTCCTAGTGAGAAAGTTTTTCCTAATATTTAACCTAAACTTCCCTTGCTACCATGGATTATTGGTACCTCCTGAGTCGGGGCGGCACTTGCCCCCCCAGTGGCCAGTCAGTGACTGGAAGGGACAGGGGTCCCCCGGCAGGCAATCACGCCAATGGAGGGAGGGGGGGGTCTCCCTTAAGCCAATTGCGCTGACTGGGGAGGGGTCCAGTCTGCTCCACTGTGCACAGATCTACGGGCACATGCCCCCCTGTGCCCTCCCAGATGAGTGGTGGAAGCTGCCAGATGAGCACCAGATGAACAGTACACAGTGGTGGGAGCCACCCCACTCCCTTCCTGTGCCCCCCCCCATGAGCTGCACCTCCATCCTGCACCTGCCCTGGTCCTGGCTGGGCAGCTTCTGCCCCAGCCCCAACCCCAATGAGCACCATCCCTCAATGTGGGGGCCTTGATCTGCCCCCCCTCCCCCCTCCTCTTCCCCTTCTACCACAGCAGACTTACCAGTTACACAGCTCTCCATGCTGCAGGCTCTGCTCCTCATTGCCTACATGCTGCACTGCAGCTGAATGCACGCACAGGCATTTATTGGACAAATTATTAGCTACACTGGGCTGATTTCCAATACAGAACCTTTTCTTTATATCAGTGCTGCTCCGATATTGGTGTACCTCTAGACTAAACTGATTTGGCCCAAATCAGTTTATGCAATGTCTGTCCCAGCCCCCTTGCTGGTTTAAGATAAACCAGACTTCCCCAGGATCCCGGCATATTGTCTGGGCTGGGTGAGGCTCTCTGCTCCACAGCAGAGCTGGCCCCTCCTCTTTGCTCCCTGGCTGCAGCTCCAGCAGAGACTGCAGGTACAGCAGGGGCTGCCTGGCTTCCCCCTGCCCTACCTCCCCACTCTGTACTTGCTGCTCAAGCAGGAATCCCCCCTCCCTCGCTCCCTCCCATCTCCCACAGCACAGACCCCAGCCCCATGGCCCCTAAGCATGTAGTGTGCTAGCTAAAGCAGAGGGATGCCTCTGTGTGTGTGTGTGTGTGTGTGTGTGTGTGTGTGTGTGTGTCTCCAATTTCACGGGAATAGGTAGACAGAACACTGACCACTTAGGGCTTTTCGGAGCTAATTAACAGGTCAGTTGGCAAGTTGTTTAAGAAGAATTTGAACTAATGAAGATAAGCTGTTGTTTTGCTGATGGGGTGATAAACACTGTTATCAGCTCCCTGCTGGCTTGCTTGCCTGTCAGTTTGCTGCAGACTATAAAGAATCAGGGAGGGAGGTTGAAAAGTTCTGTATCATCAACAGATGCATACACTGCACACACCCCTTGCCTCAGAGTGCTAGCAGAGGTCTGGGGTCTGGCAACACTCCTGCCCCTTGAGCAGCCAGTGGGGAAAGGCCTGGGACTGTGCAGGCAGACCTCCCTAATCAAAGGTCTTGCCAGGGCCTGGCCACCCCCCCGCCTCAGCTCAGCACTCTGGAAGGGAAGAGAGGGCTGCTGTAGCGTCCTCTGGCTTCTAGCCTGAGCCACTGCCTGAATTTAGTCCAGAGCAAATGTCTGTACAGTTACAAACTGGTTCAGCCTAGCCAAGTTAGACTAACCTGCAAAGATTGAATCAGTTCAGGCTCAGGCTGTTTGAATGCCTGTCCCTAGCCCCTATGTATGACTGAAAGGTGCCTTCTGTGCCATCAAGTCTAGTCCCAATGTGGAATGGAATAATGTTATACCCTAGCCTGCCCAGCCAGCTCCTCCTCTTGCAATGTAGAGCACAGGGCAGACTCAGTTTGGTGCTTGGCTTATTTTATTTTTTTCAATTTATTTGAGAAACTCAGTGCACATGCTGGTATAAAATAAAAAAGGAAAGAAAAGAAGTTGTTTTGCAGCGTGTTGTAACAGCTGGACAGTAGTTTTACTTCAGGCCAAGATGCTGCTTATTTCTTGGCTGCCTCCTCTGACTTCTTGGCCTCAGATGGAGCTATCTGGGCATGGCTTTCAAAGGTGACTGGAATTGTGATTTCAGCAGACTGGATGGCTGGCTTGGGCAGGGGAGCTTCCACCGTCAGCATGCCGTCTGGGGACAGTGAGGAGCGGACTGATGTGGCATCAACGCCAGGGGGCAAGCTGCAGGAGGGAGAGGAGAGTGAGCAGGGGATGTAAGACCCTCATCCATCTTGCTCACATATTTGTAGAGCTTGTCAATTATCCTGCTTTGGAGCTCCCTAGAACCATGTACAGACCAGCAGCAAAGGTCCAGTTGAGCCTCCTCATCCTCCAGTGGCACATAGTGACTGCAGGAGAGGGTGGGCACTGGGCCAGAGAGGCCTAGACATAGGTCCTTTGTGGACTGCTATACGTCAAGCAGAAAGGGGCACCCCTTGGGGCGCAGTAAGATCCCCCTGCTAGGTGAGGCAGGAAAGGGATCATGAGCCCAGTGCTGAGCCTTCCCTTCCTGTGGCCCCACACATGTATGTCCTGTGTGTGAACTGTGAGCTTTCCATGGCAGCTCAAGGGAGTGTCCACCAGGCTTCTTTTTCTCAAGAGGGTGACATGGAGCTCAGTGTCACAGAACCTTTCTATCCAGGGCATCTGTATAATGCCTTGGGAAGCAAATTTCCACAGTGATCGTGTTCAGGACAGTCCCTCCCCAAACCAGAGATTAGTGCTTGGCACTATCTCATCTGGCCCTAGTTCCCTGAAATCCCTCATGAGGCAGGTGCTGTGGATGTGTCAGGAGTTCTAGGTTCACATCCTCCCCAAAGGATTGACCTACAAACCATTATGCCCTGCAGGCTGCTTGGCACGACACATATGTGGGTCTCCCAGCCCACCCTGATCCTCCCAGGCTGGCAGATGGTGATGGTCAGCTGTCTCCCAAGAAAGTCCTCCTGCCAGCCAGGTACTTACGTGTATTTCCTGGTGAAGCACCTGGAGATGAACCCATGCTCATCCTGCTTCTCTTCATGCTTGCCTGGAAGAGGAGGAGACAGCAACTGTTTCAGTGGGGTGACCTATGCACGTGCTGAGTGCCCTGGGGCTCTGTGCCATGCCATGCCCCTGGCCAGGCTCACTCACCAGGGCTCCCTGGGTTTTCAAGACATACAGTTATACAAGAGAAGGAATGAATCCACCCAGTCTCCTGGGATTTTGGCTTTCCCGGTTGCTCTCAACTCCGTTCTTTGATGCTGGTTCTGCTGTACCTGGTCCTGTGAGAGCAGCTACTCTCATGAGATTTCTACCACAGAGCCAGGGAACCATTTCTAGGTGAGCGTGTGGCAGAGGTCCCTATGCTCTTCTCTCTCTCCTGAGTCCCCTGGCCTGCCCTCTAGTCTTGAAGCTCCTCCAGGCTACAGATGCTACTGGGACAAACGGGGCAGAACAAATGATCCATTGCAACAGCCAGGAGAGCTGAACCTTGCTCTGCAGAGGTGAAAGCATCCCCATCTCCTACTGCAGGAAGGGACGAGCCACTTCCCCTGACGATGGTGGGATCTCTCTTATAATGAGTAGGTTGGGAACTGGGCCCCAGTGCTGAGTCATAAGAAATGTCAGATGGCCCCGAAGCCCCTGCTCACTGCACAACCCCCCCTCGCTTTAGACCTCTCTGATTCTCTGCTTCACAGTTACTGTGGTTACCTTGCACACGTGTGTGGGGGGGATGTCTCTTACAATCATTAGGATTTCACATGGAAGCAGAATGTTGCACAACTTGTGAAGGCACCTTTGTTAAAAATAGGGAGGTGCCAAAGAGGGAGGCAGTGATAGCCTTACTCTCCCCAGGACAAGGGAGGAAGCGGGATCTGATTTTAAAGTCATGAGCCAAGCAGGGCTGAGCAGATGGGGAAGGGCAAGGAGACACTGCAGGTCTTAAGGAGGAGGATTGAACTCTGCTCAGAGCCTAGCTGGGGGCAGGGCTGATGCTCAGAGTGATGCTGTTATCCCACAATGATACCCTGGTTGGGTGCCAGGCAATGGGAAGCTGGAGAAGACCTTCCCCTCCTGTCTAGCCCCAAAGCCAGGCTCCCCTCTGCCACTTGCAAAGCCAGATCAAATAGATCTCCCTGGCTGGAATTAGCAGAGTCGTGGTAACTGCTTACTGCTTTTGAAGGCAGTCTCACCAGCTCCCTCAGAGATCTAGGGATCAGGCCAGCTGCCAGGGATGTTTGCTTTGTTATCGCTGACCTACACATTGGTGCCGGGGCCCTGACACCACTCCATTCTCTTTCTAAGGTCTTGACCTGGCCTCTATCAACACAGCACCTGAGCACCCCATTTCAACACCTTACCCTACCCTCACAGCTTCCCTGCACATTAGTCCTGCGTGAAGTGGCAAGTATTTTGTCTGATTCAGAGGACAGTGATTTGATTCGGAGATTCAAAGCACTGTCCCAATTTGATTTGGCTGAATCAGATCCAAAAGATTCAGCGCCGCTTCGGAGATGCGGCCATAGACTAAACAGCTAGCTGACACAGCTGCCTCCAGTTGGTAAGTCTGTTGGGGCTGGAGGATGGGGGAGGGAAGAGGCATGGGGGGTGGGAGGG